CAGGTGAAGGTCTGGTCTATGGCTGTGATATCCATCTCACTCCTCAGTGCCTGTTTCATTGTGAGTTCTGTGGGTAAGTTCTTGGCTAAAATGCAGTGATCTCTTGATCCTTTCCCAGTTACTTTCTATAGATTTCCTGAAGAACTAGTTTCCCCTTTCTTGACGTAAAATGGAAACCCTGAGAATGCCTTGATTTTGATGGAATAAGTTACTACCACTATTATTATCATTTATCTATTCCAGGCTTAATTTGCCCAATCTTAGTTGCATTTTCCCCACATATGATCGTAACTGTTTTAGTCAGCTTGGGTCGCCACAACAAAATACCATAGACTGGGTGAGTTAAGCAACAGAAATTTCTTTTCTCACAGTTCTGGAGGCTGGAAGTCTGAGATCAGGATGTCAGCATAGTCAGGTCCAGCGATGTGGTAGACCACCCCAGATTCATGCTCATGTACCCGAGCAAATGCCAAATGCCGTGACACCGGTGCTTGGTGGTAGAGAAAAGTTTATCTGATTTGGCCAAAGTGAGAAGACAGGAGAGCAAGAACTCTCAGATCCATCTCCCCAAAGGGATGAAGTGGGGAGGTTTTTTGCAGGAGGGGGTAGCAAGGAAGGGGGCTCCAGGAGACTGAGGGTGGAGTCTGTGTTTCTTCAGTCTCAGGTAACATCTTGAGCAACCAGACTTCTGAATATCAGTAGCTAACTTCTTCCTTTACTCCTTCTACAAAACAAATTCATAAATTTTTCTTGTTTGCATTCAACAGTAATGGGAAAAATAAATAAATTTTTCTTGTGACCCTAGGGTGTTTGTACTATTGACAAAAAAAAAGTACACTGGTAATTAATGGTTACCGTGAGAACAAAGGGTATTGGGCAAGAAGCAAGCGGTTATCAGGTTGCCCAAACAAGGGCCTATTCAGAATTTACATTGTGTGGTCACTAAAAACGCTGGGGTACTAAAACCTCAAGGGGCCCGGCTACAGTGAGGGCTCTCTTCCTGGCTTGCAGAAGCTGCCATCTCATCATGTCGTCATGTGGGTGGTGGGCAAGCTCTCTGGTTTCTTTTCTTATAAAGGCACTAACCCCGTCAGGAGGGCCCCACCCTCATAACCTCATCTAAAGCTGATTACCTCCCAAAGGCCCCATCTCTAAATATCATCACATTGGGGTTTGGGGCTTCAACATATGAATTGGGGTGGGGGACACAATTCAGTCTATGGCTACAACCCCACCTTGATGTGTGTGCCTGTGGTAGTCACCATCTAGTATTCTATCTCCTACTCCTAGGTTTATCAGTTCGCCAATGTTGATCTGTTCCTTTGTTTTAAAAAATCCCTCTATTGGAAACATAACTACCATACCTTCTCTGAGTCTATAACTGTACTACTGTAAGTTTTTGATCTTCATATGGGAGTCTTCCCAACCTGACAAGGAAAGTTGTTCAAACAACGACACAATGAAGAAATAAAGTAAGCTAATTGCTGCTCCCTTTGCCAAGCTTTATATTTTTATGAGATCTCAGAAATTTCTCTGCTCTTCTCTTTTACTATTTTGTTGTCAACACTTGCTCTATTATCTGATAATGTGATTACAAATAGAAACGAATCATCTGTGAGGAAGTTACTGACTATGATGACTTCCTACGTTGAGGGCAGATGTGTGATGATACAGTCTTCAGTTTCCTCCCAGTTGTACGTACAGCTCGCAGTTCAGTGTATCCCTCAGAGGCAGAATTATTACTGAAGTTAAACCTTGTTTTACTTTTACAACAAAGGCCAAGAGACGAAGAGGCTCAAGGACAGTTACTTAGTTGAGAGGAAAGAAGATATGCAGGAATTTAAAGACATAAAGAGAAAATAGAAGACCATGACCAGATTTAGTCTCAAAATCAGAATGATGAGATACATGAGTAAAGAATTAAGTGAGGATAAGCAAAAAGTCAGATCTTGCTCCACGCGCATGCCAATGAGCAGAAGAGACCATTTTTAGTGAAAGATGCGTAAACATCTTCAAAAGGTTAGGATTCACCCTGGTTTTAATTTTATCCCCATCTACTTACTTGTAGTTACAGCAATCAGAAAACTTCAGAAAAACTAAGAGACCTGTCATCTTTCTGGATTAATAGAATTAAGAAGATGCTGTTAGTTAGTAAATCAACAAATACTTACTTTTCTAAGTGCTGGGTATAGAGTGTGAAATTCCTTCCCTAGACTGTGCATTCTAGTGGGGAGAGACCTATATATATATGTAAACTTATAAACAAATAACATAAATGAGTACAAGAAAGGGTTGGCCACACATTTTGTGCCAGGCTTGCGCAGAAAGAAGCATGGGAGGAGAGCAGTATGGGCTGACACGGGATGAGAGGAAAAGAGGCGTTGTAGACCTCACAAGAGCATAAGGCTCTATAACACAACATAGATCTACTTAAAAGAATGAGAACTAACCTGCTTTCTCTTTCTCAGTGACTTATAATAATTCTGTGAATAGCAAAATCGTCAAGAAGCTGTACAAGTTAGGAGAATATCAACAGTATTATTCAAGTCTCACCTGCGTCACCGGAGGAAAGGAGGTAGAAGGTACGGCTTTGCAATGAGCAACAAGACTTCCTTTACTGTTTATCAAATTCTCAGTCGGGTTTTTATTTTATTTATCTTTTTAGAGATGGGGTCTCGCTCTATCGCCCAGGCTGGAGCACAGTGGTGTGATCACAGCTCACTGCAACCTGGAACTTCTGGGCTCAAGCCCGCCTTGGCCTCCCGAGGGGCCTAGTGTGATATATTACATCTTTGGCACTGACAGTTTCAAACTTAGGCTGGTTCATGCTACTGCTCTCTTAAACTATCCACTTGGATATCTTAAATGGAAGTCTCAAAGTTAAAGCATCAAACAAGGTCCTCAAAACTGTCTCTTTTCCTCCTGCCTTCTCATTGCTAAAGCCTAAAATTCAAGATTTGGTCTTAGCAGTTCCTCTTTATTCAACATCCTCACCCCTCATCCAATTCATCACCAAGTTTAACAGTAAATAAGATCCGTCTCTCTATAGAGCTCTGAATTAACTGAGAAATAAATATACACAGGATTCAAATAAGAATAAAATTGTCAGGTTTATTGATGGTAAAACCAAATTGTAAAGTGTGGCTTAGAGTGAGGTCAAAATGTTGCTCCCGGCCGGGCGCAGTGGCTCACGCCTGTAATCCTAGCACTCTGGGAGGCCGAGGCGGGCGGATTGTTTGAGCTCAGGAGTTCGAAACCAGCCTGAGC